GTGGGGGAAAAAAACACAGAACACTTGCATCTGAAAGTTCTGCACAAGCAACTTTTCTGTGATTGTGACAAGTGCGGCAACCCATTGCCTGAATGGGCTGATACGTGGCAAAAATGCAAGCCAACGTGTATTCGTGCAGATTCACACATTGCTACCGCCTCGCTTCCTCTAGCGTTGGTACCACTGATTCTCTCCCGCAGCTCTTCAAGTTCCCCCTTATGCCACTACCGGCCCTGGGAATGGTGACACCTAGGTCTTAGTTTCGGGGTAGGTCTTATATTTGAGCATTCCCAAAAATAGTACTAGGTCTTATTTTCGGGGTAGGTCTTATTTTCGGGGAAACAGGGTAGATGTGAACAGGCCAGAATGTACATACATATTCAATATTCTGTAGGTACACCTAACACTCACTGGCCATAAATAAATTGCATTTTTATTCACTTCAATCATCCAATCAGGTGAAAAATACATTCCTGTTTGCTTATTTTATCTGCACATGACTGGATAATTCAAGTGACTATTCACACAATTTATTGTGTAAAGTTATGCAAGTCCTTTAGTACAGGAAGTAACAGAATCTCTTTCCAATATGAGGGAAACCCCCTTTTAGACAGCTGTCACATAAACAAGTGCCCCCAATGGAAGATCTTCACCCTATTCCCGCTCTCCTGATGACTCAAATCTTTCTATTTCCCCTCGCTTCGATTCCTGGGGGACATTGGTGATCAGGACAATCGGGGCTCATTCACAACATGTGTGATGTCCTGTGTTAAGCACGCCATACACACATAGAGGGGAATTTATCAAGACGGGAGCAGACAGAATCTGGACCAGCTGTGCATGGCAACCAATCGGCCTCTCTTTTTCATTTTTAAATCTTAACTGAACAAACTGAAGAGAGAAGCTGATTGGTTGCTATGGGCCTCTGCTCCAGTTTTGATAAATTCCCCTCACAGTTTTTAAAAACCGCTTGATTCTCCTGCTGGCTACTGTATTCTGACACCTGGCACAGGGGACTGTCAGAATATTCAAACAGTGACTACAGCTCATTGGCTGCAGTCACTGTTCAGTCGACAATCTTCCATTTAAAGTTTGTTGAGCCGGGTGGTGCCGACAGGGCCACCTACAGTTAGAATTTTGGTTGATTTACAGGAATCGGCTGACATTCTAACAGTGTATGGCCAGTTTTAATCAGCACAGATGATCAATGCAATTCACCCCAAGGACACATAGACAATAGTGATGTGAATGGGCTTGCTGTGAACGGAGTTCAGCCAAGCCAATGCAAAATTGTCAGTGACATCCCCGTCACACAGATCAATCAGTTGCAGCCAGGGCATTCCCCACCCAGCAGCTACACATAACAAAATGACAAGGAATGACCTGGTTGCAACTGACTGTGCCGGGAGGGGGGTACATCACTGACCGTTTTGCACGGACTTGGGCAAACTTGGTTTGCTTACAGCCCAGGCACATCACTAAGAGAAAACAATTGCTTTCTATGTGCTCTGTTCACACCACAACACTGCGCTTAGGTAGGTTGCAATATGGTGCGAATGCACTGGAAAGAAATGAATGAAATGTCATCTGTCACATTTCAATAAAGTAAAAAAAAAAAAAAAAAGGTAAACAGCACCTTTATTAATATGAGGTTGCTCTCTTTAACCCTTTGGACCACAGGCAGCAATAATTCCCAACAGGGGCTCTAACACCTCACCACTCCATCCAAATCTAACAATAAAGTTTTGCCTTTTTTCAGTAATAAATCCAGAGTCATCAAATAAACACTTCTTAGCAAAGTATTTCCTTAACATTTTGCCCAAGCACTTACAGTCATCATGTTTCTAAACAGCTCCAACTCTTTCAGCTCGGCTTCTCTGAACTTCTAGTTCAGTACAAAATCACAAGGGATGGGGCAGCCACCAGCAAGTGTCCATTGACTAGCTTGGAGGCAGGAGGAGGGGGAAGGGACACACACAGCTTACTAGCACTCACAAGTGTGGCTCCGTAAGACCCAGCAATGGAAGGGGGCCAAACTAAAACAAGATATTAGGACCAGTGATCAGGGGACCAGCTGATTCTGCAGGAAACTAAAACTTTTTAACATCAAGGAGATGCATCCATTGTAAATGATTTAATCAGAATTCGAAAAAGTCCTTTTGGCTTTCATATCACTATGAGTTGTATTTTCAGGTGGCAAGCTGCTGCCATGAAATCCTGACAAATCCTTCCCTGTGACAGGTGAAGACAGACAGGAAGGACTGGTGGGGTGTCCTGTCCCCCGATACGTGTCCCCTCTGCTCTATACACATGATAGGATGAGGAGGAAATCCGTTCATATTGATTAGAACATCAGCATTCAGACCATGGAGTGTATGTAGTTGCTGCTGCAGTGTACCCATTTGTTAGATTACTATAAAAACTTCTGAAATAATGAACATGTATGTGACAGTAATGAAAAAACTTCCCACACGAGGTGAAAAGTAGAAGTAAGCTCCCAGCCGGCATTGCCTCTTACCTTTCAATGACAGCTCAGCACTACCATCTTTTACCGGCCATCCTCATGAATATTGTCCGTCCTGGAACATGCTCCTCGCTCAGTGACTGCTCCGGAACCAATGCCCCGAAGATTTGTTGACAAGGGACATTTAGTAGCGAACCATCACACATGGGCAAAGAGGAACGTCTAATACGTATCTAAACGTTCTTGAAGCCATATTTTGTGAGGGCAGAATGCCCATTTGTTCCTGGCCGGTAACACCGGTCGTGTTTTGTGATGAAGGCTGCTTTGAATAAAGTGTGGCGTGAACGTTACTAGCTATATGGATAGTGGGAGATTTTGATCTTTTCTGTCATAGAGTTTACTGGTGGAAAGTGCGAGGTCACTCCCGAAAGTAAGATGGCGGCTCGAACGTCAGCCGCCCAGTCTGTTGCTCTAGAGCTCCTCCTCGCGGAGATTGAGAGGGAGTAGGCGGGGGACTGCGGAGCGCACACTCGCTGCCACCATTCTATTCGGAGCCGCGCTCTTACATAGCTCTCTGCACGACCAGCCGCTCGGCTTGCGGCCACCCATGGCTCTTTGTAATGGAGAATCCAAGGTCAGTGTGCGGGCGGGGGACGGAGGCCGGGTCGGAGCGGGAGTCGTGAGACACCCAGGGCGAGGCCTGTGTGATCCTGACAGCCCGGGAAAAGGAATGAGGCTGGGGGCACCGCGGAGACCGCTCACTCCTGTAGGCGCATGTCTGCGCCCCTCTCAGGGTCATGCAGCGCCCTCTTTTTGTCCCTTATTTTCCATCGTATACAGAGGACATTTCACATCCATCCTTGCACAGAGCGGTAACGGGGCCCCAGTGCTCCCCTCTGTTTACATGTGACGTCATGAGGGAGAGAGGCAGCAACCTCCTATTAATGTGGGGGCTGGAGGGAGCCCCATGAAAGACATCGTCATCTTCATCATCATCATCATCATCCTGTGTGTGCTTTCACTGACACACGTGGGAGACACATGAGTGATCATACATCCTCCAATATATTAACACAGGGGCCCTCCACATTATATAGAACATATCACCAGGGTACACAGCATTGGAACACATGAGTGTGATCACACACCATCCAATACATTGATACAGGAGCCCTCCTATTATATAGAAGATATCACCAGGGTACACAGCATTGGAACACATGAGAGTGATCACACACCATCCAATACATTGCTACAGGAGCCCTCCCATTATATAGAACATATCACCAGTGTACACAGCATTGGGACACATGAGTGATCACACACCATCCAATACATTGATACAGGAGCCCTCCCATTATATAGAACATATCACCAGTGTACAATGCGTTGAGGACACGTGTAGAGGGATATAAAGGCATCTACTGTTTTTTAATAGTGTCATTCAGACTTTGCTATTACGTGAGGTCAGTTTAGCTGCGTTTAGAGAAAGTAGAATTCCGTGTTCCCAGGATCTGATTAGAAACTAAATGCGGCTAAATCCTCAGCCACAGTCCGTGTACCCATTGCACTCAGAGCCGCTGCTCCAAAAATGGAAGGTAGGTGTCAGCGGGTGGTTTCCGACAAAATATAAGTAAAGGATGGACACTGGCACTCCAAAGCAAGTTCAGTACGTGTTTATTAATGTACTAGTTGCAAGTAGAACACTCTCTAAACAACGTTTCGGGAGCTCACTGGATCCCTTCATCAGGCAACAACATGTTTGCCTGATGAAGGGGATCCTGAGAGACCCCGAAATGTTTAGAGTGTTTTACTTGCAACTAGTACATTAATAAACACGTACTGAACTTGCTTTGGAGTGTCTGTGTCCATCCTTTACCTAAATCCTCAGCCAGGTACATCTAAATGCAGGAGACAGTGACCTGGGAAGCATGAAGTTCATTTATACATCTCAAATCATTTCTATGTTTAAATAACCAAAACTCACATTCTAGTCCATTCACTGAATGAGAAGTCTTGTATGTAAACCTGTGTATGGTCATCTTTAGACTTTCTTTCTGAGGAGTGGGGAAGCACAACCAATGCATAGTGCTACAAAACATGTACATGGCACATCTATCATTCCATATTATACAGAGAAACAAGGTTTTAAAGTCTCTTTCCACTTTATATGTGTTATCTGTATGTGGTAGCCGATCCCGGGAGGTAGAGGTGCTGCGTGTGTGCGCGCAGCAGCCTGTTCTTCCCTATGGGAGGATGCGGCTGTGCGGTGTCATACAATCCATAATATGGACTGCACGGTGCGGCTGTACGGCGTCATACAGACACCTGAACTGCACATCCTTGCGGTTTCATGTGTCCACACTCTGCGTCCATTTGCAGACACCCGTACCTGCACGAATGACAGCGTACAGCCGCGTCCTCATATAGGGAAGAACAGGCTGCTGCACGCAAGCACATGCAGCCCTGTCCCTCCCGGGATCAGCTGTTTACGGGTGTGCACACCTCATGGACGCCCAGTGTGAATGAGGCCTTATACTTAAATATCCTGCATTGTAAGGCAAGGAGGGGGCTGGGAAGTTGTGCTTACTCTAATTAACCCTATCTGTACTGTGCTGGCAGAGCTCATGATCAGTTACAAACTATATGTAAACATGGTCTGCCCTAACAGAGGGTTAAAGACTAAAACTGGGTACACGGAGCGAATTTGGAATCCATGGGTGTCCCTATTCCCCAGACCAGTGGTGGGCAAACTGCAGCCCTCCAGCTGTTGTGGAACTACAAATCCCATGAGGCATGGCAACATTCTCACAGGCATGACTCCCAGAGCCAGATGCATCATGGGATTTGTTTAACCACAGCTGGAGGGCCGGTGTTTGCCCACCCCTGCCCTAGACAGAGGCCTGTTATTCGATCGACTTTTCCTGAAGGGACATGCTGGAAAATCTTTGGTGGAAGCAGTGTTCAGGTTTTTGGACAGCGGCGATTTGTTCATCCAAACTTACCGTGGATGGCGGAGTCTGTTGTTGTTTTTTTATTTTTTATTAAAGGATTGAAAATCACTCATCCTCCTAGGTAGAGCCAACCTGTGACCATGAAACTGTCACACGTCGGCTCAATAGATCGGGAAGTGAGCGAAAACATACTGTCGCGCTCACTTCTCGATCATCTCCCTGCAGAGAGCGGTGACTGTCGGTCACCGCTCCCCGCATGGATTCCCCCCTCCCCTGTCCAATCCTCCAGCGCTGAGTGGCGGAATGGAAGGGGGCGGGCACAGCTGGCTCTGCCCCTAGATAGGCAGAGCCAGCTGTCACTCACGCAGCTGGGTGGATCTCAACAGCATTGTCTGTAGCTCGTGATATACTGAGCTTTGGGTCACGGGAGGAGGTTAGTTTGTGTCCTCCTGTGACCCTTAAGAGAACTATGGGGAAAAACACCTTACCACAGAGTTCTCTTTTAAGCCTGCCACGCCGTGTCAAGACCGTGTATACCCAGCTTTAGATGCATTGTATGTGAATGAGAGGAAGTTCAGTCTGTCCCTCTACTTTCACTTTCAAACTGCTCAGAGTAGCCTGGAATCTGCACAAAGGTCTTCACCAAAGAAACATCTGAAATGTAAGATATCTATTTTAAATGGTTTTTCAGTATTCTGTGTAAATGGGAGCACACAATGAACATATAGAGGGGTTTTTCCAAATTTGTCTGCAGAAGTGGAACTACACTCTAACTGAATGAACGCAGACTGATAAAAATATTATCCGACTGATCCTTCACATGTTTATCTGAAGCGTAAAAAGTTTTACAAGACTTTTTACCTTGATCAGGGATTATATTGCTTGGTCAGTGTGCTCTTTTTGCAGTTTAGTTTACACCCATCTGATAAACAGAACAAAGGTTAAATGAGGACTCCGATTCCTTATCTTTAAACACAACGCAGGATTGCGCCAAGACACACAACTCTGAACAGATGTGATCATCAGACAGGGAAGATGTAGACCACATCATTATCGTCTTTCTTGGAATTTGCCAGTTGGGGACTTTGGTTCACATTTATATGATGATAAACCAAAATTAACCATTGACCACAGAGTAAAAAAGGGGCGGGGCTCTGTACTCGTATGGAAACATGTGGTATAAGGTTTTCATTTGTACAACGCAGTGTGTGATGGATGTAAAAGTTGCAGCAATGCATTTTTATGTAATCATTCCACAGCATATTTCCATCCACCTTTGTACAGTTGTATACCCCACACTTCCACAAACGTCTCCAAGGTTTCCTAAAGCACAGCTTGAACGTTGATTGTTTTACATTTTTATCATTGAAAGTACACGACCATCCAAAATGGAGTCCTTCAAATGTTTCTGAACCCAAAAATATATAATATTGCAGCTTCGATGTGGTTGCTGTGTTCATTTTTCCTTACTCAGGATTTTTTCTAGGGATGCACCGATATTTTCCAGCACCAGTGCCGATACTTGCCATTTTCGTGAGAACTACCAGGGTTGCAGCGGTTGCAGCTGGGACCTGGCTCTGGCGCTCCACCACTGTCCTGAAATCATTAGTTGATACTGTTTTAGAAAAACTGTCACATGACAAACAAAAATGTCTCAGCAGGGGTGTCCCGAGGTTGGGTGACACCGGGAGTGTTAACCGAGTGTCACCGCGCATGCGTGTGCGATGACGTCATCCCTTACATTGAAACTGCTGCACAAACTGTTGGCGCTATATAAATCCCGTAGAATAATAATACTACACTGAACTGAAATCTCAAAAACCGATCAGTTTTCCTAGCCATCTTCTGCAAACTACAAAACCCCTCCTCCCTAATGCAGATAAGGGTTGTTTCTAGTCCAAATCAGGAGTGCAGCCTAGGGTGTCATCACTGCTGCTCCATAAATACCAGGGACTGGTTTTAGGAACCAGCTCTATTGACAACTAGAGAACACATCAAAAGTAAGGTGCTAGCTGTAATATTTAAAGTAGAACTCCAGGCAAAAGTGTTATTAACCCTTGCGGTGCGGCTACTCCAGCACTGTACGGGTTAAATGCTCCTTTTAGTCTAGGTGCAAAAAATGTATTTTTCAGGACTCGACAGTACCAGTACTTCCGCTAGCATAGAGCCAGCGTCATGGCCAATCAGGAAGCCGGGCAGCATGCCATTACCCACGGCCCAGCTTCTTGATTGTGCAGGAAGCCAGGTCCTTGCTGTTTGGCTTCATACCGTTTGGCTGGCTCGATGCTGATTGGCTGGGAAGCCGGCTTCCCAGCCAATCGGGAAGTATTGCAGCACTGATACTAGTAACGGTATTGGTGCATCCCGAGTTAGAACCCCATTTTGTTGTTGTTAGTTTTGTGGCTGTTGGAGAGTTTCTTTCTCTTCCCTTACTGTGCAGTCATTGAGACAGTAATAAAATAAATGGGGAGCAGTGAGAACCCTGTCAGGATTGTATTGTTAAGTCCTTGTTGGAACATAGCAATCTTTGTGGTTGCCAGGACAGGAAGTGAGGTGAAATCTCCCCAACCAGGTAAGAATCAGTTGATCACCAGCACACACGAGATACAATTTTAAAGGAGAACTACGGGGTCAGGGCTTTTCCCCATAGTTCTATTAAGGGTCACGGGAGAACACAAACCAGCGTCCTCCCATGACCCAAAGCTCAGTATACCGCAAGCTACAGCTCGCGGTATACTGAGACGCGCACAGCCGGGACGGAAACCGACATTGCTGTCGAGATCCACCCAGTTGCGGGATTGACAGCTGGCTCTGCCTATTCAGAGGCAGAGCCAGCTGTGCCCGTCCGTTCCGCCAGTCAGCGCTGGAGGATCGGACAGGGGAGGGGGGGGATCCCTGCAGGGAGGCGTGAGTGACAGTCACCGCTCTCTGCAGGGATAGATTGAGAAGTGAGCGAGTGACAGTATGTGTTCGCTCACTTCCCGATCTACTGAGCCGACCTGTGACCGTCTCATTGTCACAGGTCGGCTCAGATTATGAGGCTGAGTGAAAATCACTCGCCTCATAATTCTCCTTTTAACTCTTCATTTAATTTGTTTTATTATCACAATGCGTCATAAGAAGCTGACATTTGGGGGCCATGCAGGGTCCCTTCTCCAAGCCTACATAGTGACACCACTATATTGCCTTGAAGAAGGGACCTGGTGTGTAGAGCTGCAGCTAACGATTATTTTCATAATCGATTAGTTAGCCGATTATTAAGTTCGATTAATCGGATTAAAGTGACAACTTGTGACGATGATAAAATAAATTGAATGACAATTTACGATTCTACCTTGTGTGTGCTGGTGATCACCTAGACACAACGCCATCTATATCACCACTACAAGCACCACCGTTCTGCAAGGTCATAGCCTTGTATGGAGTGCAGGAGACGCACAACACAATCTCCACAACAAGGACATAGAAGTCAATTGACAGATTCCCCTTACCTACTGTAATCAAACATGAAAAATATACATTTTGGCTGTCGTCGGGCTTTTGGAATCCATACTATTTTTGTTCTTTATGTGAATAAGAGTCATTAGAGCTTTTTTCTCCTCAAATCGATGTCATGCTTATTTTAAACAAATTATTCCAAGTGATCCCTCTCAATGTTGGCTTGCCTGAGAGTCACATTTGTGAATATGGAAGTCTTATGATTTTCATCTGGTAGAATGTAGGAGGAAGTGTACAGCTAATGACATTAGAAATGGATGCAGCTTTCATGCTTCCACATGGTCGCCAGCATGGTTTTTATCTCCCTTCATTTCCTCTGAAGCTTCTTGGCTACTTCTGATTGAATGGCAGCACTCATTCAGTTGTAGATGTCAAGTCATCATTTATCTACGGTTTCTGGCCTTTTGATTGATGACCTCGTGTGTCTTGTGGCTCACATGTCTCCATTTATAAGTGCCTTCATTCTTTCTTCGCCCATCCCTTCCAAAAAGTGTAGAAACCAAATCATCTCCACCCCTTCACCTCATTGGCAGCTTCTATGTGAATAACAGGCAGACACTTCTATGGGAAATCCTCACTACAGTTATACGCTGCAGCTGGTTGAGTGTCCTTTTGGCTAACTATGGAAAAGGTAAACCAAGTGTGCTGTGGCTGTGATTTTATTATGTTCTATAGTGAAATCGGCTAGATTCAGCAAGGAAAGGACAGAACCTATTTTTAAAAAAACAAACAATTTCTGTAATATATGGGATAGTCTAAAACTTTTGTTCTAAATGTAATTGTTTGTGTATGTATATACGTATATATGTACGGTCTGTTGGAAGAGGTACTCACGGGTCTTGTAATGAAACAACATAAATAAGGTTTATGGTCGACCAATACATTTATTTACCTTGCTTCATTAAATGTCCGTGAGTACCTCTCTTACACCGGACCATTTGTATCTACTTGCCTTGAGTTCGCCTAGACAGTTTTTCTTACCCGAGTACCGTGCGTACCATTGGAGATGTGCTCGCGCTCTCATTCATTCATTCATTCATTCATTCATACATACACTGTCCATTGAAAGAGGCACTCACGGGTTTTCTAATGAAGCGACATAAATGTAATGGTCGACCAATAAGTGTCTTTTATGTAGCTTCATTACAAGATCCGTGAGTGCCTCTTCCAATGGACCATTTGTATGTACTTGCCTTGAGTGCACCTTGGAAGTTTTTCCTCTGGTGTGGTGCGTACCATTTAAGATGCGCACACTTGTCACACAAGCATTTGTGGTGATCTCTCTGATGTTATGTACAATTTATTTTATATCGATGCATTTTATTTTTAGCTGGCCAAAACTGGAACAGATGTTAAAGATGGGCAGCATCTCTACGAGGGATCTGTAGTGATTCTGGATGCAGGCGCACAGTATGGGAAGGTCATTGACCGACGCGTCCGAGAGTTCTTTGTACAGTCTGAGATTTATCCATTGGAAACACCAGCATTTGCTATAAGAGAACAAGGGTTCCGGTAAGAGCTGCTCTTCTCTGCCCCTTTTCTTGGACCAATGTTTTGTATACCTGTTATCATTATTTTGGGTCTGTTGTTCCCACATCCTTGAACGTGTGTTTGTATTAATACTTCTTGTGAGAAGGTTCTTATTTCCTTGGGATATTTTTTGTTCTGTGTGAATATTAATTTAGCCTTGAACATAAACTGGTAGGTGTATTTTCAGTATACTGAAGTCTCATGATAGTGTATAATGTCTACTTACTGGTGTTTATTGTGAATGGTAATTGTTTTTATTCCCTTTTATAAAGCTGAAGTTTAATCTGCTTACATTTTGTCTCCCATTCATTCACATTGGGGGGGGGGGAGGGGGGGGGGGGGGGTGTTGTACTTAGCTTCCTGAAAACATTACAGCACGTTGTATCAGAACTTCTCTTAAGATTCCTCAGCCCTGGTGAGAAGCAGTGGGCTTGCTTGAGTAGTGGGTGTTCCTAGGCAGACCATAATAGCATGAAAACTGCCCTAGGTGACACCCACATATGATGTTGAGCCTTCATGATTGAAATAATTGAATTCAAGTGAATAAAAGGGGCGAGCCAGGGACAGGAAGGCTGCAGAGGAAAGAGCTAGATGATGAATGTCCTCCAGCCAGGAAATGAGGCGAGTTCTATCTGACTTGCAGCTTATAATGTGAATCTATGAGAAGCTCACTGTGTGCAATGAGATTAAAGTAAGCAATTTCAGGACAGGAGAGGAGCCTGTACCACTGTGCAAGACTTAGGCCAGGTTCACACCATTTTCCGGACCACATCTGGAACTGCGTTTTTACCGCATAGGGATACATTGGGATGCTTTTTTGGTCTAGAAACAAGCTGTTCTGGTCTGGATATGATTCGGACATGGTGTGAACAAACCCTGAAGGTAAGGCTGGAGTTCAGCTTTCAATGTCTTGAGAACGGGAGACTTGATTCCACTTGGAAAATGTTAAATCTGTAATTTCCTTGCTATTTTGCAGTGCTATAATCATATCGGGAGGACCAAATTCTGTATATGCTGAAGATGCACCTTGGTTTGACTCGGCCATATTCACTATTGGAAAGCCAGTGCTTGGAATCTGCTATGGCATGCAGGTATGTGATAGGCTCACAACTATAATACCTCCTGTAGGATATAAGAATGATTTCTGTAATTTTACATGCCCTCCTCTGGTTATCCTTTTTCCATAGTGGAGTGTCATGGGTTACAGTTGGCTGACACTTTCTACGGATTGATAACATCTTTGACACAGATTCACAGTAGAGCATCACATGCTCAGTGTACGCTAATCGGCAGGAAAAGGGATTTTCACTTAGCAATACAAAATCTTTAACATGAGCCATCTAGGGAGTTCATATACTGTAAGAGAGGAAAAAAAAGATAGAAAGTATATGTATCAGAAAAGAAACAAATACAGTGATTTGCACTAAAAATGGAGTGCAGGCACAAATAGTGTTTCATGAGTGATTCTCCATAAAGGACAGTGAGTCTTCTTCAGTCTACTATTGGTATTTTATATAGTGCTGACAATTTACACAGCGCTTTACATACTGCACATTCACATCAGTCCCTGCCCTCAAGGAGCTTACAATCTAAGGTCCCTATCTCACATGCATGCATAGGAGGCCCAATTAACCTTCCAGCATGTCTTTGGAGTGTGGGAGGAAACCGCAGTACCCGTAGAACACCCACACAAGCATAAGGACAACATGCAAACTAATGTCCTGACTAGGATTTGAATTGGTGACCCCCCCCCCTGTGCTGCAAGGCAGAAGTGCTAACTACAATGCCACTGCTGCCTGTCTAAGCTGCATGTACTTCAATCTGTGTACACCAGTGTTCCTGACAATCACACTGCATATATTGTAACCATACAAGATCTGGTCCGCCCAGACCTGGTGTGTGTTTAGTAGATCCTGCAGGGTTATAGGAAACCTTTCATAAGAGAAACATGGAGTCTCCTGTTAACAAACCTATGAAATTGTTTGCTGATCCTCTTGTTTCAGTACTTTGAATCAGTGACCCAAAATAAGTACACTCTTATAAGCAATAGCCCACTATATACTGAGCTTTGGGTCATGAGAGCACGTTAGAATATGTCCTCCGATGATCCTAAAGAGATCTATGAAATTAAAAGGTACCGTATATACTCGAGTATAAGCCGTCCCGAATATAAGCCGAGGGGGGGAAATGAGGCAGCTACTGGTAGATAGATACCAATAAAATTACATTAATATTTATTTAAAAGAAAAATAACCTAGCTCTGCAAGTGGAAAAGGGGGTACAGGGATACATATCATGTACTACGGATCATTTAACCCATTCATGTTAGCAGAGGATCATTGTAAATGTATTGTCTGCACTGTATTAGCAGTATATACTCTATATGTAGTATATACTGCTAATACAGTGCAGACAATACATTTACAATGATCCTCTGCTAACATGAATGGGTTAAATGATCCGTAGTACATGATATGTATCCCTGTACCCCCTTTTCCACTTGCAGAGCTAGGTTATTTTTCTTTTAAATAAATATTAATGTAATTTTATTGGTATCTATCTACCAGTAGCTGCCTCATTTCCCCCCCTCGGCTTATATTCGGGTCAATACTTTTTCCCATTTTTTTTTTGTAAAATTAGGTACCTCGGCTTATATTCGGGTCAATACTTTTTCCCATTTTTTTTTTGTAAAATTAGGTACCTCGGCTTATATTCGGGTCAATACTTTTTCCCATTTTTTTTTTGTAAAATTAGGTACCTCGGCTTATATTCGGGTCAATACTTTTTCCCATTTTTTTTTTGTAAAATTAGGTACCTCGGCTTATATTCGGGTCAATACTTTTTCCCATTTTTTTTTTGTAAAATTAGGTACCTCGGCTTATATTCGGGTCAATACTTTTTCCCATTTTTTTTTTGTAAAATTAGGTACCTCGGCTTATATTCGGGTCAATACTTTTTCCCATTTTTTTTTTGTAAAATTAGGTACCTCGGCTTATATTCGGGACGGCTTATACTCGAGTATATACGGTAACCTCAAAGTTCTGTGTTAAGGACTTCTGACTTTTCAATGACGTTCCTAATCTGCATGTGTGTTCTGTTTGGCAATCATGATGCCTCCCTTAACTGTTTATAAAGATATCAGGGTGACATTTTTAGGAAGTTTACTAATACAAATACCTCAGCTAGCCATACATGGCTCAAATTACGGCTAAATCCTGCGGAATCAGACAAATTCTGAGCCCTGAGTGGCCCTGTTAGCATCACCTGGCTAAACAAAAGTCGATTTGACTAAGCCGGAGGAAATTTGTGAAACAGTGACTGTATACTATCCGATGCAGTCATTGTTCAGGAAGTCGGGCAGCGTTAATGGCGCGGTGTTCTAATACCATAGCTGGCAGCAGAGATTCTTCCATCCACACTGTTTGATGAGGCTAGGGGTAATCTATTGGTCTTCTCTTGTTTAGCCTGTGGGCTGATAAAAGAAAATCTAGCTGTTTATGGCAAGCTTCATATTGTTGGGAGGGGCTGTAAAGCACAACCACTGTTTAGCACTGTAAATCAAAAAGAAGAGCTTACAAATGTAATGAACATCTGTGACTGCCTCCAGGTAGGTTTATATTTATACAGTATATGTAGAAGCAATGTTTTTATAACATTGATTTTTTTTTTTTTGTTACATTAGGGCTGCAACAACTAATCGACATAATCGATTATAATCGATTATTGAAAAAGTTATCAACTTTTATTCTGACTCCGATTGTTGTGATAGCAAAATATATCACTTGCTGAGACCTCTATGCCTGGCCTGTATAAGCAGATATACTCACTGCGGACAATCCTCGTCAGATAGCTGAACTCGTCAATACCGATTCATTCAAAAGAGGTGTTTATTCTTTAACATCAGGGGTTACAGCAGATGATAGAAACAGCAGTTGAACGGTTATAGTATTGTGCGGTCAGAAAATGATGCCTTTCCTACGTACTGTGCAGATTATATATGTGTCCTGTTACATGTGGCTTGCTAGCTTTGGCCATGACACAGGAAGTACTGCACACAGGAAGAAGGAAGGGGCGTACACTAGGGGGAAATACATCGTCACATGAGGAATAATTACAGAAAAACATGTACATTACAACAAAAGGCCACTAGATGGCAGCATAGGATAACACATGGATTTAGCTATGAGAAAATAGTTAGGCAAAACACACTATGTAAAACTTCTATCTATATTAACTTCTATAACATATTAGCTGGGTTTTGTAGTCCTCTATAGCTGGTGCCATTCTCCATTAATTGCTGTATAATTTTACACTTTTAATTTCACTATATTGCACACCACACTTTTCTTTTTTTACTTCCACCGCTCCAAACTTGCTCCTGTGATGGACTGCAATCTCAATACAAACTAGTAGTCCATCACTGGAGCCATTTTTTAAATTTAATTTTTATCCGATTAACCGGCTAACTAATCGATTTTGAAAATAATCGTTAGCTGCAGCTCTGTCACATATTTATATATTTACATTTCGCTGATCTTTGTCTACCTAATAAAATGTATAAAAATACTGTACATTTCCTTTTTTGTTCCCAATTGTTATGTCATACTCCAGTGATGAGCTCTGCACTTGACTTCTCAGGTCTTCATGTGTCACAGCAATTACAAAGCTCTCGGCTGTTCTTTTGTATTTTTAATGGATTCTTTACCTATTTGTTGGGGTATGATATGGGAGGAATTGCGATATTCATTTTTAGGGGGAAGGAATGAGACACAGAGGTGAGCAGTTAGATGTAAAAAAGCCTGTAGATCACTCCAACACCAGAGTCAACCTGTAACTAAAATGATTTATGTGGTACAGATTTGGTGTCATTGCTAGAAGCTGGAGAGAATAGAAAGTATTGATTACTTTTCATAGTAGTGCTGAGAGCCAAAGACTTTTATATTGTACAATGATCTTTAAAGCTGGTCAGAGATGAGACTGAAGGCTGCAGGGGGATTGGTTGAGTAACACCTCCACTTTATTGTGAAGTAGGTTTTACATTTCCGTGTAGAATGAATGTCATGAAGTAATATTGATAGTGGATTATACACTGGTACATTTTCATTGTGGGATTGTATTACAGATGATGAATAAAGTGTTTGGAGGAACGGTCCATAAGAAAAATGTGAGAGAAGATGGCGTGTTCAATATCAGCATTGATAATACATGTTCCCTGTTCAGGTAATACATTGCTTTGAAGATATATGCTAAAATTTAGCTGATACAACAAGCCATTAGGGGGGGTGTACTTGTTTGTCATTATATTCAGCATAAATCAGACCTCATTGTATTTGCCTAACATGTCAAAAAAGGTGCTTGTCTGAGTAATGTAGACGCATCTGAAGACATGATAGGGCAGTTCTTATATGTACAGGAACATACGACTGCCCTAAGGTGAAAGGGTGAAAAGGTAGCTTTACTGACTGGTCAAGCTTACAATTTTAAATCAGTGATTTGGGGTTCTGATACTGTATGGGAACAGAGGTAATTGCCAAGGTTTACTATCCTGTGTGGTTAATCGCATTCCCTGCTAAAGGGTTGGCCATTGCTGTCTGATTGGAGTACAGACATGGATCAGGAGATGCTGGGCACATACTATTATTGATCCCAGTTTTGTGTGTCTGGATGCTTCTAATGCCAGTTGCAGATGGAAATAGTAATTGGAAGCAGACTTGGATGAAGTGAAGAGAAGAAACTGTGCTTGTATATCATACTATACAAGAACTGCTCCATACTGTGTATACTCTGCCTCTGCACTGTAAGCTTATAGTCATTGTGGCACACGTGGGTTGAATTGTTGTCAGTGCAAAGGTGAACCCTTTGTCCGTACTTGCCATAATTGGATTCTTTAAACCTATAATCAGAGTAATTGTCTAATTTTACTGCAAAATTTATTTAAAACATGACTGGTTCTTATGGGGAACAATCTCACTTTTGCTTTGGTTCACACATCAGCCTCTGGGAAGATGACTGAGGTGTAGCCTCTCCTGCGCCTTCTCGCATAACAGAGTATAGTGGGATGTAAACTCCATGTCTACCTGGATCAAACAATTAGATTTGTTGCCAGGACCTGAGTATATGGTACCACACCCCTGGAAATAGTAGTAATCACAAGAAGAAAAAGATGGTGTTTTTAAGGTAACGAATGACAATTCCAAGGCAATGAAAGGTAAAAAAGTATTGTTTATTAAATCATGATTAAAAGTGTGTTCAATTCAAGTAAAATTAATTTATGAAAACCAGCTGATCCGATGTCTCCTAACAGACTCCCTCCACTTATTAAATTACCAAATCAAAGATACATGATGAAATAAATATATATAATATTGTAATAACATCATTCAAAAAATAGACTTGATTGGTTTTTAGGTTGTTCAGAGTGGAGGAGTCATATGGTTTCAACCTTTCACGCTAAAAAGCGCTTCCTCAGGAGATGGAAGATATCTCCATGATTAAATAAATCAATAAACATAATGTACAAAACCATAATTGTGTAATAACTAGGTAGGAACACCACCTACCGATTAAGCAAGTTGGTACGTGTGCACTCAGAAGGACCAGTCCGGGCAGAACCCCAGAATCCAGGGGGGAAATTGGTTCTTATGGGGAACAAGCTCACTTTTGCGTCAGTTCACACATCAGCCTCTGGGGAGATGACTGAGGTGTAGCCTCTCCTGCGCCTTTTCCCATAACAGGGTATAGTGGGATGTAAACTCCATGTCTACCAGGCTCAAACAATTAGATTTATTAAATTCTCTGTGCATTCCACTGTGTGTACAGTGCTTTGTGTGACATACTTCGAAATGCTCTATTCTGTATATTGTGTTGTATGTTACATATTCAGCGCATGTTGAGTCTGTCTGCCGTGCTGTACATTATATACTCCATACCACTGATTTATCACAGTATTGTCATATAGAATCCTTCATACCAGAATGTAGGCATAGCATTAGAACTCCTGAATGCCACCACATTGACTTCACAAAGTTTTGCTAGTATTTTAGGAACACCGGAGCCTTTGTAAGTCACCAATTTGATTATTATAAATTCTATTCTGTGTGAATCATTTGTTGCCCAAATCAGTCAGTCTGAGAAACAAATCGTCTTTGGGCAACACAACAAGCTCTTCTTTCAAGTAGATTGATAAGTTTTCAGTCAGTGAAGAACCTATAGGTCCCCATAGGCAACACACACACATCTCACTGGCCAGGTTGTGCTGCTTGTAGCCCCAGTAGCCATCCACTTTTCTTGGAGCTTGTCATGTAGGAGCTTGTATTCAGAAATCTATACTTTTAGCAGGTTTTTAAGGCTGGACAACAGCTGAGCATCTGATATTAAAGGCTTCAGTTTTTGTTTTATTAAGGGCAAGAAGTGGCACAGAATTCTCAGTCAAGGCCGTACCCTGCCAAACATTAAAGACAGGTCTAATAATCCCTGCTGTGGGAAAGTATGTGTCTGAGCTTCTCTTGTTTCTGCAAGCTTAAAGTGTCTTCACTTATATTTGTTTTGCATCCTTAATGGTATAAACTTTGCTTTCAGGGGGCTGCAGAAGGAGGAGGTTGTGTTGCTGACACATGGTGACAGCGTAGACAAGGTAGCTGAAGGGTTTAAAGTTGTGGCACAATCTGGAAACATAGTTGCAGGTATGCATCTAAAATGTCTACATGAAATCATATGACTGTCTAGTATCCTTAACCTGACCCTGAATAACTATATATAGACCGCTCACTGTCACTTCTCTCTACAACTCTGCCTCTGTTGTGGACAGCTTGTCCCTGATGTGATAGCACAAATAATATGTGATATTAAGATTGTTAAGTATTTTGCTGCATTCGGCAGTATCATATGATTGAATGTATATTTATTCTTGAATCAATTAACATCTCTGTTTAATGTTGGATGACAACAGAATCTTCGACAAGATCACAGCTATGGTGGAGTCTTCTAATAATATTATGTCAGTTGTATATCATTATATTAATGTAGACTTAGAATCAATTGCACTGAAAAAGGACTTCTTATACAATGGGGGGAGTTTATCATGGCAATTGCGAGTGTTTGAACTTGCACGGAACAGTTTTACGATGCTAGTGTAATGTTGTTCATAAATGAGATTTAATAGACTCCAGGAAAGAAGAAGACTTTTAACTCCAGGCAAAAATCCTAAAGGAGAACTATGGGGTCAGTGTTTTTCCCCATAGTTCTCCTTAGGGTAACGGGCGGACACAAACTAGCGTCCTCCGGTTGCCCTAAGCTCAGTATACCGCGAGCTACAGCTCGCGGTATACTGAGCTTAGGGTAACGGGAGGACACAAACTAGCGTCCTCCGGTTGCCCTAAGCTCAGTATACCGCGAGCTACAGCTCGCGGTATACTGAGCTTAGGGTAACGGGAGGACACAAACTAGCGTCCTCCGGTTGCCCTAAGCTCAGTATACCGCGAGCTACAGCTCGCGGTATACTGAGCTTAGGGTAACGGGAGGACACAAACTAGCGTCCTCCGGTTGCCCTAAGCTCAGTATACCGCGAGCTACAGCTCGCGGTATACTGAGCTTAGGGTAACGGGAGGACACAAACTAGCGTCCTCCCGTTACCCTAAGGAGAACTATGGGGTCAGTGTTTTTCCCCATAGTTCTCCTTTAACTGTGGCTTCTTAAAGAAGTGGTCATGGGGACTTCTTAAGTTGTGATTGTTTTGTTAGGTGATGCTCCAGTTTCAGAACAGAACAAGTGCAGATGAAAATGGGTGCAAAAAAACATGCAATTGAATAAGTAGTGCAAGCTCAGGTGAAAACAGGGGCACGTGTTAGACAGATTTGCATATAAAAAAAAAAATTATCCAAGAGGCTAAAACTGTCGCAATTGCTTTGATAAATTCCCCCCAATATGTTTAATGCCGATTTTAGTTTAATTGTGCATTAAGTCTAATGCTGGCCACTTTTCCTTCAGATTTATTATAAATGATGTGTATCTTTTATTAGCAGCTATTATAATTAGGGATGCACCGATATATCGGCCGAAAATTGCACTTTGGCATAATGCTGAAAGTGCCATTTTCCTGCCGATACATCGACACATCCCAGGTTTCTTTCCTCCCCGCTGGGCGCTGCTCTGTGTCCCAGCGTGGGGGAGAGAAAACGACAGCCGGCCGAGCTCTGCGGGAGGAGAGTGCTGTGAGTGGCCGGCGTCTCTCCTCCCACACAGCTCAGCCGCCTATCACAGTCCGGCAGAGCGCTGTGTGGGCGGAGACAGTCCGTGCTGTCACAGGAGGCTGAGCTCTCCTCCATGCTCTGCTCGCTCAGCCTCCTGTGACAGCGTGTCCGAGAGGAGAGTAAGTGCAAACACTCAGCGATCAGTGATTTACATAATTGAGGACATGGTATGTTGACTATATCCTCAATTATAAATGGGAGTGATCTACATCACCTCCTGTTCATTCATAGTTGTGGTTATAGTAATCATACTCTGTCCTCAAGTTATCAATGAACAGGAACACTCATAGAGGATTCCTGTTCATTGATAACAGTGGCTGCAAAAAAAGAGATTGAGGCCTCTGTGTCCTCAATCTCTTTTTCTATTTTAAAAGGGAAATATCAGGGGTCTGTTTTAGACTCCTAATATTTCCCTGAAGCCCATAAAAGTAAAGTAAAAAATATTTAATAGAAACTGAAATAAAAATAACTATAAAAAAAATTAAAGTTTATAAAAAAAATAAAAAGATTAAATGTTGAAAAAATTAAAATAAAAACATTTTCTGACAGTTTTTTTGTTTTTTTTTTTAATAGAAATTTGAAGACCTTCGTTTAGGTCTTCAAATTTCTATTTCCGTGCACCTCTAATTTATAATGTGTCTACCCCATAGTCCATTGAAATTGTATTCTGTCTGGTACATTCTCTTTATCACATAGTTGTCTGTAAAGTTTGACAATCTGTTATATCTGAAACAACAAAATCTGACTGTGATTGCCCAGTAATAAACCATTTGTTGAACACTATGCTGCAAGTGAATAATAAAATACAGGTTTTAAGGATATGGTTATTATATCCGTAAACTAACTGGTACTTAGAATTCTAATTTTTGTTGTACAATTCATTGTATGCTGTGTAACCGAGTAATTGATAGAAATATTATATATGCTGTAAGATGAGATTCTCTGTTCAGGTTTTAAACGTGTGATTTACTCTTTAAAGGCATTGCTAATGAGTCCAAAAAGCTTTATGGAGTTCAGTTCCACCCTGAAGTTGGCCTCACAGAGAATGGCAAAGTGATGTTGAAAAATTTCTTATATGATGTTGCGGGATGTAGTGGGACCTTTACTGTAGAGAACCGAGAGATTGAATGTATACGAGACATTAAGGAGAAAGTGGGGTCATCAAAAGTATTGGTGAGTATTATTATTATACTGGATTTATAGGCTATTGGCTGCAAATCCTAGTCAGTGCCACTTTTGGCACCTGCAGTCCGCTTCAGTTAGCCTCAACTCTGGGGGGGTTCTGCTGACACCCTGAGTGAATCGGAAGCTCTCTACAGTTCCTATATTGTGGTTAGTAATTTAAAGTGATACTAAACTCAGGCGTTAAATCTCAAAAATGCAATCCAGTACCATAACTATTGACATAAATGTATCTTATTTGTGTATCACTCGGCTGTAGATCCTTAAATCATCTTTGAATTGGTGTTGATACCGTCCTTCCTTCTGGAGGGTGGCTACTTTGGGTCACCATGTTCCCTGTAGAGCTGCAACAGTTAATCGATTTAGTCGATTAAAATCGACGATTGAAAACGTTACCAACGTTTTCGATCGTCGATTCGTCGGCTATCAATTGAACTTTTTTATCATAGTTAAGGTACTTGAATGCAAATTTAACTCCTGAGTTTAGTGTTGCTTTAAGTGCTCATTCAGATATATACCCTGGATTGCTGCGTGTTAATGAACACTTATTGTGCAAGTTAATAAGCATTGCATTAAGGAATTGAAAAACAGACATGCTTCATTGTTCGGACGCATTGTTTTGCAATGCGGGATGGTTGACGGTATATTATATTGTGTTGGCGGTCCAATTCAAAACAATTTCCACCCCCACCCTGCATCAAAACGCATTTTACCACAATTCAAAGATCTGAATATTCCCTAATGGGGCTTTGCAAGTGAGTACTTTTAGTCTTTTCCTTGATCTAGTGTTTGTTTTACTTTTAATAAAACCTGGTCTTGTGTAAGAACAGTATATGAATATTATCCAATTCAGTGTCTTGTAAATACATAGCAGAGTTCCTAGTGTCAGGTCTGCGAAAGGCTGACATTCATTGGCCTTGTAATGGGGAGCGTTTACTTCCTGCTTTCATGGTTCCCTTGGTTTTGTCTCATGATGTTTCAGACAGGAGGGAGTCTACAGCCAGTGCTGCCAAGGAGGGAGTTTGCTGATTTCGTATGACAAATATACCAGAAACTCTGCTCTGTGACATTATTTCTAGTAAGGTTGATTACCAAATGTGGTTATCACTAAGGGGTTAGTCTTTTTTTTTAAATTTAAACCCATCATGACGGCGATGTTCAAAGTATGTCGACGTCACTAAGTGTGACACTTGGTGACAGTGACATCGTATGCCACCTAACCTAATCATAATGAGCTTTTAGAGAAAAATAAAATGTTTTTTTTTAGTTTTAGGCCGAGAAGTACAACATTTCGTAAATCCTAGGGATGCGAGGTGTTTCCACATAAAGGACAAAGTGGTTTATTTTGATGCATTGTTTTTAGCTGTGCTATTTTTCTAAAAAAAAAAAAATCAAGACAGGGGAAAGTGTTTTCTTTGTTTTTTTTTTCTTGTTTTTTTTTATACTTTAATCCTAAGTGAGGCACACATATGTGATATAATCATATAGCCCTATCTGTCCTGTAAAATACAATATATAATATGTGTGGGTGCACTTAGTAAGAAAGTATATTACTGTCGTGGAAGAGTCACGCAGCACAAATGTGAAGTGTGTCCTTCATTAATGAACAATCTGAAAAGCTCAGTCATGAAGGGTTAAAGGAAAACTGGAAGCCTCATACCAAGTTCAGAAAGAAATGATGTAGCACGCGGCATTGTGCCAGGTGGTACGTCCAGTACCAATTTCTGGATCCAGAGTAGTTGGGAACAGTGGAAAGAATGGGCATCACTCCATACGGAAAGACAAGATTGGTAAATTTTAAATCTGAGATGGTGACCTGTAACATTGGGCCTAGTTTTATCTTCCCACTCTGTTTAGTGAATAGGGGAGCAATGTAATTGGATTTGGGGGCTGAATACTAGGGTTGCACAGATACCAAGTACAGTACTCGGTACGAGTACAAGTACCGATACTTTTGAGCTCCAAGACTAGACTAGAGAAAAATGTAAAAGTTAGGAGGCAGCTGTCATTTGTAAGGAGCACACGGAGCTCCTGGGATTTGTACATCTCTGTTTTAATGTACGATTTTGTTTATATAAATATAAATAAAGGGATGCACAGATACCAGTTTTGCGAGTACGAGTACTGATACGTGCCGAGTACTTACAAGTACGAGTGCTGATACATTTTTGTTTGTCATGTGACAGTTTTTCTAAAACAATACAGACTAATGATTTCAGGACAGTGGTGGAGTGCCAGAGCCAGGTCCCAGCTGCAACCACTGCAACCCTGGTAGTTCTCATGAAAATGCCAAGGATCTGCACTATGCATCCCTACTGGATACTATTATACTATATGGACAGAGAGGGAGTTCTGTTACATCCTACTAATACACAAAGCATTACTATTAAACTGGATGATGCTGCACACTCTTGTGAAAGGGCACACTGCTCTATTTTTGTGATCACTTTTAGAAGCAGGGAATAAGACGTGTGGGATGTCCTTCTAGCAGCAGATAGAAAGATTTTTTAAAAAGGGATATTTCAGTGAGTTCATATTTTAAAGTGTCAATAAACCCGTTCACACTATGTTATATTTTAGCGGAGAAGATGAGAATAAAATGAATAGTGTCCTTCTCGCAATTTTTTGCATAAATACTTTTTTTGCTGCTTTGTCCCGCCATCATGTGACACAATCTACTTGCTCTGCACCACACTGAAGGATCTTAGGCAGAGCAAGCATGAATCCTGTGATGCAGCCTGCAGATGTCACTGTAGGAAGTTTAGATTCTTTTCCTGCCAGTTGGCACTGTTGTGTTACGGTACGAGTACAAGTACCGATACTTTTGAGCTCCAAGACTAGACTAGAGAAAAATGTAAAAGTTAGGAGGCAGCTGTCATTTGTAAGGAGCACACGGAGCTCCTGGGATTTGTACATCTCTGTTTTAATGTACGATTTTGTTTATATAAATATAAATAAAGGGATGCACAGATACCAGTTTTGCGAGTACGAGTACTGATACGTGCCGAGTACTTACAAGTACGAGTGCTGATACATTTTTGTTTGTCATGTGACAGTTTTTCTAAAACAATACAGACTAATGATTTCAGGACAGTGGTGGAGTGCCAGAGCCAGGTCCCAGCTGCAACCACTGCAACCCTGGTAGTTCTCATGAAAATGCCAAGGATCTGCACTATGCATCCCTACTGGATACTATTATACTATATGGACAGAGAGGGAGTTCTGTTACATCCTACTAATACACAAAGCATTACTATTAAACTGGATGATGCTGCACACTCTTGTGAAAGGGCACACTGCTCTATTTTTGTGATCACTTTTAGAAGCAGGGAATAAGACGTGTGGGATGTCCTTCTAGCAGCAGATAGAAAGATTTTTTAAAAAGGGATATTTCAGTGAGTTCATATTTTAAAGTGTCAATAAACCCGTTCACACTATGTTATATTTTAGCGGAGAAGATGAGAATAAAATGAATAGTGTCCTTCTCGCAATTTTTTGCATAAATACTTTTTTTGCTGCTTTGTCCCGCCATCATGTGACACAATCTACTTGCTCTGCACCACACTGAAGGATCTTAGGCAGAGCAAGCATGAATCCTGTGATGCAGCCTGCAGATGTCACTGTAGGAAGTTTAGATTCTTTTCCTGCCAGTTGGCACTGTTGTGTTCACATGCATTTCCAGAAAAAAATTCTCTTAACCTCTTGCCGTCCGCCTGTAGTAAAAAAACGGACGGACGGCACTGCAGCATCTGCGGGTTGCCGTCTCCAGACGGCAATTTTTTAACTTATCTCGTAGGGGTGGATAGAAGGCGTGAGGGAACTGGGGTCACTCAAAAAGCCGGAGCTGCCCACAAGTGATGACACGAGTCACATTGGGTGACTTTAACACAAAAATATGGACATCAATAGCTTCCCAACAGTCATCAGGCAGAATACGCACACTGAGAGGGGCAACCTAGCAGCCACAGGATAGGCTGTGATGGTTTTGCCAGTGTCAATGGGGAAGTGCATGGAAATGGCAGGATCAACCAGGCTTTTGCAGAAAACGAACAAATGTATGACTGGGATCTTCTGCACACAGATATAGTACATATTTTGAAGCTTTAATGACACTTTAAACAGAGAGATCTGCGGAATGGCTACTAAAGGCAGCATACATTATCTACTAGAATGATTGGCAAATTGCAGAACAACTCTGGAGGTAAGATACCCACCACATATTGCATTGTTTTAGTGAGTTGACTGGCATTCAAGATGGACTTGCATTGCGAGTTCCACAACCATTGTGCAGTACTGCAAAGCAGTGCAAATATGGCTGCCCCCCAATAACTATTTGAATTCTATCATTGCAAAGTATTTATAGAATCAAGCTTTCTAAATCATTAACACAAATTTAAAATAACTGCTTTAAGCAGATCTTCTACATATTTATCTAAAAATGAGTGAAATCAATTATCATTTTTTTTTTTTTTAAAGTTTGAGCAAAAATGATTTGGCATTTCATGCATGTTGACTGTCCAGAGCTTGGCTGTAATATTCCTCTCAAACACTGTTGGTGACACGTACTTTGTTTACCTTATTTTGAAGCATTTTCTTACTGCTTTAAATATAATTTATTTTTATATTGAGACCGTTTGATGTGAAGTAAGTTGCATGTTTCTGTGCTCTGCAGGTGCTATTGAGCGGTGGAGTAGATTCTACAGTCTGCACAGCTCTCCTAAACAAAGCCTTAAACAAAGACCAAGTGATTGCAGTGCACATAGACAATGGCTTTATGCGGAAACGAGAGAGTCAATCTGTGGAAGAAGCTCTGAAGAAACTAGGAATTCAAGTCAAAGGTGGGTTTTGCTTGCTGTGATTTCCGATATAGAATGCCTTTCACTGGCATAAATGTAAATCTTGAAGGGGCCACTGCTTGCAGTATGTCTTTTCAGCACAATTTACTGTAAAAGACGTTTTGAGAATTCAGAGTTATCCCTCTGTAGAGAATTGAGCGCAGTATCGGCTGTATAGGATAGGGCAACTGACAGAACACTGGAGTTTCTTTTTAAATAGCAGCTCCACCCAGAACTGGCTGTTCTGCTTTTTGAGTGGGCCATGGTAGAAGAAGCACTTTAAATTCTGATAATGCCAAGGCAGACTACACTGTGCTATCAGGTCCATGTTTTTGATCTAATCATCAGAAGAAGCACAGAATTGTATAACTGCCCATTAGTGAATTCTCCATAAAAATATATATGGAGGATTTGTTGCATTGACTTACACTAGTAACTCAGCATTTTGGCCATGTTGATGGTTAGGTGCTTTTTCTCTGCCAAGTTCCAGAACAAAAATGTGGGCTCGTTCACAATGCATGTGGTATCTGTAACATACGGTATGCGGGTTGTGGTGCTCTGCAGAAATATAAAGCATGCACTCAACTTTCGTAGGTTGAGGTGCCTTGCAGATCATTCATTTTAAATGGGCTGCCCAGCACAGTGCACCTCTATGACCAGAAATACATTTGTTGCAGTGCTGTGTGAGTGAGCCTTAAAGATGACCCCAGTTATCAGAGGCCCATAACACCCAGCATTGTGAAACCTGTTTTGGCTGCCATTGTTCTTTGTTACAGCAACATTCCATAGCCTGCTTTTGCTAGATACTTGGCTATTTAGAAATGTTTGTAATCCTAGACTTTGTTCAACAGTTGTCAATGCAGCACATTCGTTTTATAATGGTACAACAACGTTGCCAATTTCTGATGAGGACAGAACACCACGTAAAAGAATCAGCAAAACCCTTAATATGACCACAAACCCAGAGGAGAAGAGGAAAATCATTGGTGACACCTTTGTGAAGGTATTTTGGTAGTGAGTATTGATAGACTGCACAGGTGCTGAATGAATGAGCTGTTCGGATGATGCGGATAGTGTCTGAATTTGTGTTGGTGGGACGGGAGGTATGTTTTTAATGCAACTCATTCCATACCTGTTTTGTTGCTTTTCTTCCAGATTGCCAATGAGGTTATAGGTGAACTGAATCTTAACCCTGAGGAGGTCTTTCTTGCACAAGGCACATTACGACCGGATCTGATAGAAAGCGCATCTCTTATTGCCAGTGTTAAAGCTGAAGTTATTAAAACTCATCACAATGACACAGAACTTATAAGAAAGCTAAGGGAAGAGGTACTTTTTGTGGGTTTACTTGATTAAAAAACCTCTCCTGCAGCTTGCAGAACAGGAAATATACTATCAACATTTGTTTATATTTTGATAAATGCATTAAAGGGAACTAAAAGTCTTTTGAATCAAAGGAGTGCATTTACTAATGTTCTCCTGTGACCCCCCCAGCCAGCATCTAGCGGCCTGCTTTTTTCTGACAGCGCAGAGCAGTTGGGAAAGATCCAACAGTATTCGGGAACTACCCTGCTCCCTGATTGACAGCTGGCTCTTGCTCTCTAGAGCCAGCTATTCCCGTCTGTCCCTCCAATGAATGCTGAAGGAGCAAAGAGGGGAGCGGGAATCCCTGCAGGGAGCGGTGACTGACAATCAGTGCTCTCTGCAGGGAGAAGATCGTGGGGTGAGCCATCAGGGGTTTGTGATCGCTTAGTTCTTGATCTATACAGCTGACATGGGACCTGCAGTGTCACACACAAGCTCCAAGTATTGATGAATACATTTTTCTATCCAAATACTTCTCCTTTAAAACTACTGCCTTGAGGATACCAGTTCCGCAGAGACAGATTAGAGAGTTATATCATCAAAAATCAACAAATGCTTTTAGTTATTTTGTGGACAGTGTTAAATTGTGAATGTTCTATATTAGCAAACGTGGCACTCCAGCTTTTGTACAATTGCAAGTCCCATGAAGCATTGCAAGAATCTTAACAGCCACAGACATGACTCCCAAAGGCAGATGCGTTTATGGGATTTGTAGTTCACACCTCAGCTGTGCCTATCCCTGTTTATATGTCATGCATGTTAGAGAAACTAGAGAATGAAGTGTTTATGTAGATTCGCTCAGTCCTACAATTTGATCATTTTCTGAAGATTGGCCTGAGTAAGTCTTTCCTCAGGGATGTGATAAGTGCTCTTGACTGTCAGAAGTACTCATTATGGGATTTTCTTCTTAATATAAGCTGCATTATTTCCGTAGGGTAAAGTAATAGAGCCCTTAAAAGATTTTCACAAGGATGAAGTTCGAATATTAGGGAGAGAGCTTGGACTCCCTGAGGACCTGGTCAGCCGACATCCCTTCCCCGGTATGTGGCTTTTCTCTGGGTATTTGCTGCATAGTTTTTCCAAGCCTTTTAGTTATGTTGTAGATCTTCTAGAGTGTTTTGGAAACTTCTTTATAACCACAATTTATTAGCCCTTCAACAATTATTTTTCTTTCTTGACATTATGGATTATTAACTCTGAAGGACCACTCAAATATTTTGGCATAGAAACAGTAATTTGACCTGGAAAAAAGTTAATCTGTGTTACTATAGTGAGCACATCTTGTTCCACTTTTCTATTTCACAGTTGTGGGCAGAACATTTTGCACAGTCAGTGCTGATTGTCATGACCACCTATCATATTTGTTTTCACTGTTCATATATTGCGAATATTGTGGAGCTCTTTCACATTAGCACTGCCATAATGGAGCTTACAGTCTAATGCTGTTACCACACACGTTGTAAAGTAGCCACCGCTCCAAGCTCGCTCCCATGAGAGACTGCAATCTTAAAGGAGAACTATGTGGTGAGTGCTTTTCACTCACCTCATAGTTCTAGCCGACCTGTGACAATGAGACTGTCACAGGTCGGCTCAGTAGATCGGGAGGTGAGCGAACACATACCAGCGTTCGCTCACCTCGATCTTGTCACGGCTCTCTGCCGTGACAGGGGAGGGGCTGGATTCTCCCCTTCCCGCTCCGATACGCCAGCGCTGACTGGCGGAACGGACGGGGGAGAGGGCTGGTACAGCTGGCTCTGCCTCTAGATAGGCAGAGCCAGCTGTCAGTCACGCAGCTCGGCGGATACAGACATAATTGTCGGGATCCGCTTCAGCTGCGGCGTCTTAGTATACAGCGAGCTGTAGCTCGCGTTATACTGAGCCTAGGGTGACGGGAGGACGCTAGTTTGTGTCCTCCCGTTACCCTAAGGAGAACTATGGGGAAAAGCCTTAACCCCATAGTTCTCCTTTTAATGCAAATTAGTAAGCTAAATGTGAGATTGTAGTCCATCACGGGAGTGAGTTTGGAGCGGTGGCTACTTTACAACACGGGCGATGGGCACCATAGCCAAAATGACAAGGTGAGGACCTCATCTCATGTCACCCTTGTGGGGCACCAGATGATGAAACTCCTCATCTTGCATCAATACAGGAATGCTTTTTTTTTTACCTAAATGAATACAATAATTCAGAGATAATCAGGGCTGCTTAGGACATGTTTGAAAGTTTAGTTGTATACTATGTCTATTGTAGTGATGGACTAAAATCTCACCTTTTAGTTTACTAATTTGAATGGGAGTTATAGTCCATCACGGGAGTGAGGCTGGAGAGGTGGCTACTTTACAACACACACAGGGATCATGGTGAACAGAAGTAGTCACCCTCCAGAAGGAAGGACAGTGTCGGCACCAATTCAGAGATGATTTGAGGATCTACTGCTGAGTGATACACAAATAAAATAAATTTTTGTTAATAGTTAAGCTACTTGAATGTATTTGTAAGATTTAACGGCAGAGTTTAGTGTCACTTTAACATAATCAAATATCTTTTGTTGGTAGGAGCAGAGCTCATCTCCTAGAGCAGGGGTAGGCAAACTCCATCCCTCCGGCAGTGGTGCAACTACAAAAACATCACAAAACTCTGACAGCCAGAAGCAGATAAATTATGGCATTTGTTGTTTTACCACAGCTGGAGGGCCCGAGTTTGCTTACCCCTGCCCTAGAGGAAACCTATGCACACATGGTGATTAAAACAAAGTCCCTTTTAAGGGTGTTCGAGGTGGCCATAGAATTTGTCTCCATCGCATCAGAAATATTCATGGGATGCCATACCTGATTCAATTCCTGCTTTGTAATCCAAGGAGGACATTTGTATATTTCTATTGGATCACTAAAGATTGTTTTTTTTATCCTAAATCTATGTCTTCAAGAAAGAACTTTGTTCCCATTTTTAAAAAATTGTTATTTTGTCTTGTCTGACAGGTCCAGGATTAGCAATTCGCGTAATATGTGCCGAAGAGCCTTATATCTGCAAAGACTTCCCCGAGACAAACAATATATTAAAAATAGTTACAGATTATTCAGCAAGTGTTAAAAAGGTACATAATCATTTGTAATATTGCTGGGTTGAATATTTTTTATTGCAGAAAGTTGAGCAATTTTGCCTCCATGGCTAACACATAAAAATGTGGGACTAGGCCCCTGCCTATGGGGGGTTAGACTAGGAACAAAACAGAGTTGTTTCACCCTGTTATACCCCCATCTTCGTCTGGCACTGGCTCCTCAGCTTAGTGGCTTTAGAAAGCAGATACCGAGAATGGCCTGGTCTACATTCTATAAAAAAGAAAAAAAAAAATGGAAGAAAGGAGAATGGAGTTTTTCTTCTCACTGTCAGAGCAAATTGTAGCTGATCTCCTGTGTTAGTGAAAGGAGGGAAAGGGAGGACAATAAAAGCAGCTGAAAGAATATTTTCATTTATTTCAGGCAGAATAAATATGTTATATATTAAATTGTGCTAATATTTACAGCTAGACAATGTTGCAGCAAGGTACTTTTTACATGTTTGCCTATTTTTTCTTTATTAGATCATTTAGGCCTTGTTCACACCAAATGCAGACCAGATCCGGTCAGGTTTCTGCACACGCAGTGTAGTGGGTTGTGCCGCGTTTTAGACGCGTTTTTGATGCGTTTAGGGCCGGTTTTGGTAACAAAAAAAAAAAAGAATTTTTTTTAAGTTTAACATGGACTTTCAGGCACTTGCATGCGTTTTTGATGCGTTTATGCATTTTAGATGCGTTTTTGATGCGTTCCAGAGCAGGTAAAATAGGGCTTGCCGCATTTTTTTCATCCGGTCTGGATCTGGTCTGGATCCGCACGCTGCGATGTGAACTGGAGGTCAAAATACCATAGGAATACATTAGACGCAGTTTTGATCCGGTCTGCACCTGCTCTGGTCCGGATCTGCTCCGCATTTGGTGTGAACAAGCCCTAAATCAATCTCTGCTTTTTTTCTTTTTTGCTCCACATTTTATACATGAAGGCCCAGAGCCGCTTCAAAGCCAACAGCATGTTTTATGTAGTTATTGCATGTGACATCAGCCTGAAATCAAACTAATGAATAAACACAGCACATATGTGATAATTGTGTTTGAGCTTTGTTTGAATTGTTCTTTCCAGCCCCACACCCTGCTACAAAGAGTCAAAGCATGTACAACAGAAGAGGAGCAGGAGAAACTGATGCACATCACTAGTCTACATTCACTGAATGCCTTCTTATTGCCTATTAAAACTGTTGGAGTGCAGGTAAGCTTTCTGTCTTTTCTGCTATTGTGCCTTTTATTTTCTTCCTTCCTGAATTGTCTGAGGTGATAATGCATTTTTGTAAATATTGGATTATGTTATTTTCCTAATTTTATCCTAACAAAGCAAATGGATTGGAATATCTGAACTTTCTTGGAAAGGTAGCGTAAACTTGCCCTTACTATAAGGGATGCACCGATATTAGTATCGATATCAGTGCCGATACCCAGTATTCGGGCGAGCACTCGTACCCGCCCAAAGGCTCCGATGCCTAGCCCTGCATCAGGAAGCCGGGCAGCGCGTCATTACACGCTGCCCGGTTTCCTGATTGTCCGGGAAGTGGCTCCATGCTCTATCTTTACGTGTGATGAGAGCATGGAGCAGACTTCCCGGGCCAATCAGGAAGCCGGGCAGCGTGTAATGGCGCGTTGGCCATCTTCCTGATTGGTCGGGAAGCTGGGTGCCGTGTAATGACGCAGCGCCCCGGCATTCAGATTGGCCGGGAAGCCGGCTTCATGCTCCCTCGTCATCTTATGCACTACCTGTTACAATCCCTTCTCCAATCCTACGCAACCTACAATCCCAAGTCTTCCGCTTCATCTGGAACGCCAAACGCCCTAGAATCCTCTGCCGCACGCTTTGTCTTCTGAAAACATATGGAGGCTTAGGAGTCCCAGATTTCACAAAATATTTCCAAGCCACGCAAATTGGCCAATTGACTAAATGCCATGGCACAATTGAAACCCCTAGCTGGGTAGCCTTAGAAGAGACATTCCTGCCAGCCACCTCCCTCGCCAACCTACTCTGGACCCCCCCCCAAAAAAAAGTACATCCGCTGTCTCTAACCTCTGGGAACGACCCGCCGGCCTACTCTCTACACACCTACCTATGCTCTCTTACCTGCGCAACCCTGACTTCCCACCTGCACACTCCAGCCCCTCCCGCTTTGCCATTTGGGTGGACAAAGGCCTTACGCACCTCTGGAAATTTCAAACGGAGTCAGGAGTGAAACCCTTCCCATACTTACAGGACCACTACGCCCTCCCACCCAAAGAGATTTTTCGATACTTGCAAATCAAAAGCTTTATTCAACAACACACACGTAACTTCCCCTCAACGGACACCTTAAGCACCTTTGAAAAAATATGCCGTGATAACCCCCATGCTCCAGGTACAATCTCTACCATCTACTTGTCCCGTCTATTACAGAATAGTCCACCCCCCCCTTCATACACAAAGCAGTGGGAACGGGACTTGGGATCTCCTCTTGAAGATGTCATGTGGCGAAATATCTGGGTGAACACAAAATCCAGCTCTAGATGCTCCAGCATGCTGGAGATCAATTATAAAGTTATAATGCGCTGGTACTTTGTGCCAACGAGGGTTGCCAAGTTTAACCCAACTGCCACGCCTCTCTGCTTCCGGGGATGCCCTCAGCAGGGTTCCTTCCTCCACACATGGTGGCAGTGACCGATTGCCTCTAGCTTCTGGAACAGAATTTACTCTCATCGCTACTGCAGAAGCCCATCACCAAAGATCCCACATTCGCGTTACTTAACTAAAAACCCGAGGGCCTTTCCAGAACAGCATTCAAACTATCCCTCCACGTCCTATCGGCTGCGAAAAGAGAAATAGCGAAATCATGGTTAACAAACAAACTAAGTGTCTCCAGTGTTGAGAGGCATGTCAACTGGATAATGTCCCATGAGAAAAGGACGGCCGAAAACGACCTTTCCATGCACAAGTATGAGAAGATTTGGTTATGCTGGTCGGAGGCAAATGCGCCATCTGATGCCCATCGCCAACTACTCCTCCTATAATGGGGCGCACACAATGACCATCTGAGCGGTGACTGGACTCTAGTGATCCACCTGACTCCCCCCTCCCCTCCTCAACCCATTCTCTTCTTCCTTTTCTTTTCACCCTTCCTTCTCCCTACCTCCCCCACCCCCCTTCTCATAGCATCCTACCACAGTGATTTTGGGATGCATTGCAGCCCACCTTGAGAGCGGGATCCCCCTTGAACATGCTAATGGGAAGCCTCTTCCTTCCCCAGCGGGAAGCCAGACCCTAAACACTCCACATTCGCCCATCTGGTTTGCCATCCCAACAACTATTCCACCGAAAGCACTCAAGGGACCCCATTTCTGGCTCATTTATCCTGCCTTCTTAGAACTTTTTGATTAGCACTCAATATATTATCAGAAATTTTAGCAATAACTCTGTACTTGTGTCTTTTATTTGTAGGGTGACTGTCGCTCATACAGCTACGTATGTGGAATTTCAAGTAAGGATGCTCCACACTGGGAATCCCTTATGTACTTATCCAGGCTTATACCACGAATGTGTCACAATATCAACAGGTAGCTATCCCGGCTGTTGCTTAGTACATTATATTCATAAAAACGTGTGTGTGTATATGTATATATATATATATATA